TACGGAGCGCGCCTGCGTCACGCTGTCTGTGAGGCACGCACGGGGCTGGCAGGAAGACGCAGGGCACGTGACCGCCAGAGGGCAGATTGTTTTTGGCGCGAGTTTTGTGGCAGGAGTGGGTTATTGTGCGGGTTTGCGTCACTCGGTGCAGTAGTGGGGGGGGGGGGGTCTTTGTATTGAGTGAGGAATTGTGCCTGGTCGGGTTGAGAATCGTGTAGTTCATGTTGATACACGCTGAGCACACTGTTAGCTAGGGTGGACACAGCGCCCTTCCTGCTGCTTTGCATGCAGGTGAAAGGCTGGGCTTCGTAACGTTGCTTTGTGTTTTTGAGGGGTAGAGGGGAGACTTGTTAAATCAAGACATTGTGTACTATGGTCTCCCTCCAATGGTTTGTGCAATTACACGGGGGTGGATCTGTAGGAACAAATACAGTGTTGCCTTTAATCCCTTAAGGACACATGATGTGTGACATGTCATGATTCCCTTTTATTCCAGAAGTTTGGTCCTTAAGGGGTTAAAATTGTATATAAAAGTTTTGGGGGGGGGGGGTTTCATAATTTTATTTTTTTTTGTACTGAGATTTTCTCTTATTGAATATTTTTTTATAGCCGTATATGTATATCAAGTAAATATTAACACACAATTTACTATAACATTTGTTTTTTTATATGAGACTCCAGCATTTCAATGGCACACAATATTTCCATGGTTAGAAGATACAAGGAAGTCATTTTGAGGCTGGCTGTCATCGTGCCCGGAACCAAATAATTAACAGTATTCAATTCAACTAGAGGAGGAGAGGGCAATAGAAGCTGGCAGAAGATAAGTAAAGGGGTTTAACCCCATAGCGACCGAGGACGGTTCAGGACCGTCATCGGCATTTTTGCCTTGAGGACCGATGACGGTCCTGAACCGTCCTAACGGTCTCCGTTACTTACCTGATCGCCGTCATTCCCCCGGCGGCGATCAGCGTGGCTCCGGTTGTGGGGAGACTGCCTGCAGCCCAGACAGTCTCCCCACACTGAATTAGGACCCCCTGTGGCCATGTGATTGCTTAACACAGCGATCACATGGTCACAATAGGTGTCCATGTATCTGCCTGCAGGGGGACTGTCTGTGCTGACAGGCAGTCTCCCTGCTAGTGTAAAATCAGAAAATAAAATAAAGTTAATGTTAATTAAAAAAATAATAATTATATAGGTGTATATATGATATATAGACATATATTATATCTATATAATATATGTCTATATATCATATATATAATGTAATACTAAGTGTATTTTTATATTAATATGTACTTATATTAATATAAAAATACACTTATAATTAAATTACACACGTATATATATAATATATATAATTATATATATATTGTGTATATATATTATAAAATATAAATAATAAGTAATTTAAATTAAATAAAAAAAATTTAAATAAAAAAAATTATATATCTATATGAAATTTTATTCTAAGTGTATTTTAAAATTAATATATATATATATTTATATCAAAATACACTTAGAATGAATTTGTATATATATCTATGTATATAAAAATAAATAAGAAATATACATACGTCCATATACAAAATTACATAAATAATTATATAAATATACACGTAGACTTCAGATATATAAATATGCATATATATTTAAATTCTACGTGCGTATTTATGTAATAGTTTTACATAATTCAGTAATTTTATTGATTGCAATTTAAGGGACCTGCCTGCCAACCCAGGCCGAAATTCCAGAGAATTGAATTTGCTAGCACTGTATTTTACCCTGTAACGTTCTACGACACCCTAAAACCTGTACATGGGGGGTACTGTTTTACTCGGGAGACTTCGCTGAACACAAATATTAGTGATTCAAAACAGTAAAACATATCACAGCGATGATATTGTCAGTGAAAGTGACTTTTTTTGCATTTTTCACACACAAACAGCACTTTTACTGATGATATAATTGATGTGAAACGTTTTCCTGTTTTTAAACACTAATATTTGTGTTCAGCAAAGTCTCCTGAGTAAAACAGTACCCCCCATGTACAGGTTTTATAGTATTTTTGAAAGTTACAAGGTCAAATATATGGGTCAAATATTTTTACATTGAAAATGGCCAGGTTGGTTACGTTGCCTTTGAGAGCGTATGGTAGCCCAGGAATGAGAATTACCCCCATGATGGCATACCATTTGCAAAAGAAGACAACCCAAGGTATTGCAAATGGGGTATGTCCAGTCTTTTTTAGTAACCACTTGGTCACAAACACTGGCCAAAATTAGCGTTCAATTTAGTTTTTTTACTTTTTTCACACACAAACAAATATGAATGCTTACTTTGGCCAGTGTTTTCGACTAAGTGGCTACTAAAAAAGACTGGACATACCCCATATTGAATACCCTGGGTTGTCTACTTTAAAAAAAATATGTACATGTGGGGTGTTATTCAGAGATTTATGACAGATAATAGTGTTACAATGTCACTATTGATAAATTTAAAAAATTTATGTTTTGAAACCGCAATATTCTACTTGTACCTATAGCCCTATAACATGCAAAAAAAAGCAAAAAAGCATGTAAACACTGGGTATTTTTAAACTCAGGACAAAATTTTGAATCTATTTAGCAGTTTTTTTCATTCGCTTTTGTAGATGAGTAAAAGATTTTTCAAGTAAAAGTAAAAAACATGTATTTTTTCAATTTTTCATCATATTTTTTTATTTTTTTTAAATTAAAATACATGAGATTATATAAATAATGGTATGTAAAGAAAGCCCCTTTTGTCCTGAAAAAAAACAATATATAATTTGTATGGGAACAGTAAATGAGAGAGCGGAACATTCCAACCAAACACAAACACCACAAAAGTGTAAAAATATGCCTGGTCGCAAATGTACAACATCGCAAAAACAGTCCAGTCCTTAAGGGGTTAAAGAGCTGCAGAGGTGTAAATAGGATTTGTTTTTTTGTCTTTTTGCAAATGAATGGGAAATGGAGCAAGCCAGCCGTTTGTAATATTTGCTAACCAAAATTCTTTTTTTTTAAATTTTTTTTTTTTATCAATTTCTTTTTATTAGAGTAAAGAAGTTTTAAGCATATACAATGTGATAACAGGCACAGTAGAGTTCCATACAAAACAGCGTTAATCACAATGCATTGTACAACATCCCTAGACCATTTTTGGCCCCATATCTTCCTTTTTTTGTTATGTAGTAAACACCCTTACAGGGATATGAGGAGATGAGAGAGCCGATTTAGGATCTTGAACTTATCACCAAGTTTTAGCTATAGGGCTCTCGCCCAGTAGATCATAAGAGATTATGCAAACCATTTTACATACACTTTTCCATAAGCATGTAACGTCTCAGCCTATCCCCGTATGTGCGGACCGCACATAGGAGAGCTAGGGTTCCTATCGTGGTAGTGTGTATCACTGAGTGTTTGAGTAGAAAGGAGTAACAAGAGGGGGAGAGAAGAGGGAGAAGGGAAAAGGGGGAGGGCATGATTTGATTTCTTAGAGTTGCACCAAGCATACATCATTAGGGTGCGGTAAAATTAAGTATTATGTCCTCTCGAAATGTATTGCACTCTGCCTAACATATAGCGAGCTCAATGTCACTTAACTACGTGAGCTCGGATTGTGACCTCCATCTTCGTTCGGGTGCGTGTGTTGGGGTCCACCAGGTCATTTAACCATTCATTGGCGGTAGTTTAGATATATGGCCAAAAGAGAGGGAGAATGAGGAGGTAGCAGAGGTGTACCCGTTCTACTGAGAACGTGGGTGGGGGGGGGGTTATAATGTTGGGACGTGCACATTGGCCTTGCCCCGGAGGGCCCCGCGCGCGCCGCCGGGCCACCACCCTAGCTCCTCGTGTTTTGTGATATGAAAGTGAACCATGGAAACCACCGTTCAGCATGTTTGTCCCCTCTCTCCTGTATGGATGCCTGTAGTGCTTCAGCCCCTTGGATATCCTCAACCCTGCGGATCCAGTCTTCTTCGTTGGGTATCTCCGTCCGTTTCCAATATAACGGAATGAGCGACTTGGCCGCGTTCAAAAGATGTCTGAGAATTGATTTCTTATAGGAGGATAACGGCATCTGCGATATATGTAGGAGGGCCAGAGCAGCCGACCATTCCGTCACATTGCCCAGTATATCTGTTATTCGTTGTTTGATCAGATCCCAGAATGGGGTTATTTCGCTGCACTCCCACCATATATGCATTATCGCCCCTCTATCCCTCTGGCATCTCCAGCATGTAGGTGCAACAGTTGGGAAGATCCTATGTAGGAGAACCGGGGTCCGATACCACAAGGTAATCAGTTTATAGTTCGTTTCTTGATATTGAGAACTAACTGAGCTCTTGTGTTGCCACAGAAGTGCCTTATCCCATTGTTGTGGCGTAAAGGTTGTGTCCATCCGCTCCTCCCATTGCCTGCGGAACATTGCATTCGCCGTCAGGTGCCCCGTCAGGATGTGTTGATAAAGTATAGAGATAGCATTATCCAGTACGATCTTCCTCTCACAGCAGTCCTCGAACCATGTGCGATCCCTGTGCAATCGTTCCTTGTCACGCAAATTATTGTGGTAGTGCTTCACCTGTAGGTAACGGAGTATTGCTAATGGCGTCCGTGGTCGTCCCTCTAATAGGGCGTCCACGGAGCGCAGTGAACCATTCCGCAAGGTTGTGTGGATTGGAACGTACTCACGTCCTTCCAGAAAAGGCCACATCACTGGTGGAAATCCGCCCCCTATCTCTTTGTTATGAG